CTCGCGCAATGTTCAAAACGTTTAAATCGCGTATATACTGTCATTTGGCGCTATAAATGAGCCATTTGAAGCATGTTTTACTTTTGCAAATATCTTTCTTAAAAAGAAAGCCATGGACTTCTAAGAGGTATCAATATGTTGCGCTTGAGCTTCTCTATCTGTTCCTGACATCGGTTTATCTCTCTCATCTTTATTTGCAAATATCTTTCTTAAAAAGAAAGCCATGGACTTCTAAGAGGTATCAATATGTTGCGCTTGAGCTTCTCGTTCTGTTCTTGACATCGGTTTATCTCTCTCGTCTTTATTTCTTGCGCAATGTTGAAAACGTTTAAATCGCGTATATACTGTCATTTGGCGCTATAAATGAGCCATTTGAAGCATGTTTTACATTTGCAAATATCTTTCTTAAAAAGAAAGCCATGGACTTCTAAGAGGTATCAATATGTTGCGCTTGAGCTTCTCTATCTGTTCCTGACATCGGTTTATCTCTCTCATCTTTATTTGCAAATATCTTTCTTAAAAAGAAAGCCATGGACTTCTAAGAGGTATCAATATGTTGCGCTTGAGCTTCTCGTTCTGTTCTTGACATCGGTTTATCTCTCTCGTCTTTATTTCTTGCGCAATGTTGAAAACGTTTAAATCGCGTATATACTGTCATTTGGCGCTATAAATGAGCCATTTGAAGCATGCTTTACATTTGCAAATATCTTTCTTAAAAAGAAAGCCATGGACTTCTAAGAGGTATCAATATGTTGCGCTTGAGCTTCTCTATCTGTTCCTGACATCGGTTTATCTCTCTCATCTTTATTTGCAAATATCTTTCTTAAAAAGAAAGCCATGGACTTCTAAGAAGTATCAGTATGTTGCGCTTGAGCTTCTCGTTCTGTTCTTGACATCGGTTTATCTCTCTCGTCTTTATTTCTCGCGCAATGTTCAAAACGTTTAAATCGCGTATATATTGTCATTTGGCGCTATAAATGAGCCATTTGAAGCATGTTTTACTTTTGCAAATATCTTTCTTAAAAAGAAAGCCATGGACTTCTAAGAGGTATCAATATGTTGCGCTTGAGCTTCTCTATCTGTTCCTGACATCGGTTTATCTCTCTCATCTTTATTTGCAAATATCTTTCTTAAAAAGAAAGCCATGGACTTCTAAGAGGTATCAATATGTTGCGCTTGAGCTTCTCGTTCTGTTCTTGACATCGGTTTATCTCTCTCGTCTTTATTTCTTGCGCAATGTTGAAAACGTTTAAATCGCGTATATACTGTCATTTGGCGCTATAAATGAGCCATTTGAAGCATGTTTTACTTTTGCAAATATCTTTCTTAAAAAGAAAGCCATGGACTTCTAAGCGGTATCAATATGTTGCGCTTGAGCTTCTCGTTCTGTTCCTGACATCGGTTTATCTCTCTCGTCTTTATTTCTTGCGCAATGTTCAAAACGTTTAAATCGCGTATATACTGTCATTTGGCGCTATAAATGAGCCATTTGAAGCATGTTTTACTTTTGCAAATATCTTTCTTAAAAAGAAAGCCATGGACTTCTAAGAGGTATCAATATGTTGCGCTTGAGCTTCTCTATCTGTTCCTGACATCGGTTTATCTCTCTCATCTTTATTTGCAAATATCTTTCTTTAAAAGAAAGCCATGGACTTCTAAGAAGTATCAGTATGTTGCGCTTGAGCTTCTCGTTCTGTTCTTGACATCGGTTTATCTCTCTCGTCTTTATTTCTCGCGCAATGTTCAAAACGTTTAAATCGCGTATATACTGTCATTTGGCGCTATAAATGAGCCATTTGAAGCATGTTTTACTTTTGCAAATATCTTTTTTAAAAAGAAAGCCATGGACTTCTAAGAGGTATCAATATGTTGCGCTTGAGCTTCTCTATCTGTTCCTGACATCGGTTTATCTCTCTCATCTTTATTTGCAAATATCTTTCTTAAAAAGAAAGCCATGGACTTCTAAGAGGTATCAATATGTTGCGCTTGAGCTTCTCGTTCTGTTCTTGAAATCGGTTTATCTCTCTCGTCTTTATTTCTTGCGCAATGTTCAAAACGTTTAAATCGCGTATATACTGTCATTTGGCGCTATAAATGAGCCATTTGAAGCATGTTTTACATTTGCAAATATCTTTCTTAAAAAGAAAGCCATGGACTTCTAAGAGGTATCAATATGTTGCGCTTGAGCTTCTCTATCTGTTCCTGACATCGGTTTATCTCTCTCATCTTTATTTGCAAATATCTTTCTTAAAAAGAAAGCCATGGACTTCTAAGAAGTATCAGTATGTTGCGCTTGAGCTTCTCGTTCTGTTCTTGACATCGGTTTATCTCTCTCGTCTTTATTTCTCGCGCAATGTTCAAAACGTTTAAATCGCGTATATTACTGTCATTTGGCGCTATAAATGAGCCATTTGAAGCATGTTTTACTTTTGCAAATATCTTTCTTAAAAAGAAAGCCATGGACTTCTAAGAGGTATCAATATGTTGCGCTTGAGCTTCTCGTTCTGTTCCTGACATCGGTTTATCTCTCTCATCTTTATTTGCAAATATCTTTCTTAAAAAGAAAGCCATGGACTTCTAAGAGGTATCAATATGTTGCGCTTGAGCTTCTCGTTCTGTTCTTGACATCGGTTTATCTCTCTCGTCTTTATTTCTTGCGCAATGTTGAAAACGTTTAAATCGCGTATATACTGTCATTTGGCGCTATAAATGAGCCATTTGAAGCATGCTTTACATTTGCAAATATCTTTCTTAAAAAGAAAGCCATGGACTTCTAAGAGGTATCAATATGTTGCGCTTGAGCTTCTCTATCTGTTCCTGACATCGGTTTATCTCTCTCATCTTTATTTGCAAATATCTTTCTTAAAAAGAAAGCCATGGACTTCTAAGAAGTATCAGTATGTTGCGCTTGAGCTTCTCGTTCTGTTCTTGACATCGGTTTATCTCTCTCGTCTTTATTTCTCGCGCAATGTTCAAAACGTTTAAATCGCGTATATATTGTCATTTGGCGCTATAAATGAGCCATTTGAAGCATGTTTTACTTTTGCAAATATCTTTCTTAAAAAGAAAGCCATGGACTTCTAAGAGGTATCAATATGTTGCGCTTGAGCTTCTCTATCTGTTCCTGACATCGGTTTATCTCTCTCATCTTTATTTGCAAATATCTTTCTTAAAAAGAAAGCCATGGACTTCTAAGAGGTATCAATATGTTGCGCTTGAGCTTCTCGTTCTGTTCTTGACATCGGTTTATCTCTCTCGTCTTTATTTCTTGCGCAATGTTGAAAACGTTTAAATCGCGTATATACTGTCATTTGGCGCTATAAATGAGCCATTTGAAGCATGTTTTACTTTTGCAAATATCTTTCTTAAAAACAAAGCCATGGACTTCTAAGCGGTATCCATATGTTGCGCTTGAGCTTCTCGTTCTGTTCCTGACATCGGTTTATCTCTCTCGTCTTTATTTCTTGCGCAATGTTCAAAACGTTTAAATCGCGTATATACTGTCATTTGGCGCTATAAATGAGCCATTTGAAGCATGTTTTACTTTTGCAAATATCTTTCTTAAAAAGAAAGCCATGGACTTCTAAGAGGTATCAATATGTTGCGCTTGAGCTTCTCGTTCTGTTCCTGACATCGATTTATCTCTCTCATCTTTATTTGCAAATATCTTTCTTAAAAAGAAAGCCATGGACTTCTAAGAGGTATCAATATGTTGCGCTTGAGCTTCTCGTTCTGTTCTTGACATCGGTTTATCTCTCTCGTCTTTATTTCTTGCGCAATGTTGAAAACGTTTAAATCGCGTATATACTGTCATTTGGCGCTATAAATGAGCCATTTGAAGCATGTTTTACATTTGCAAATATCTTTCTTAAAAAGAAAGCCATGGACTTCTAAGAGGTATCAATATGTTGCGCTTGAGCTTCTCTATCTGTTCCTGACATCGGTTTATCTCTCTCATCTTTATTTGCAAATATCTTTCTTAAAAAGAAAGCCATGGACTTCTAAGAGGTATCAATATGTTGCGCTTGAGCTTCTCGTTCTGTTCTTGACATCGGTTTATCTCTCTCGTCTTTATTTCTTGCGCAATGTTCAAAACGTTTAAATCGCGTATATACTGTCATTTGGCGCTATAAATGAGCCATTTGAAGCATGCTTTACATTTGCAAATATCTTTCTTAAAAAAAGCCATGGACTTCTAAGAGGTATCAATATGTTGCGCTTGAGCTTCTCGTTCTGTTCTTGACATCGGTTTATCTCTCTCGTCTTTATTTCTCGCGCAATGTTCAAAACGTTTAAATTGCGTATATACTGTCATTTGGCGCTATAAATGAGCCATTTGAAGCATGTTTTACTTTTGCAAATATCTTTCTTAAAAAGAAAGCCATGGACTTCTAAGAGGTATCAATATGTTGCGCTTGAGCTTCTCTATCGGTTCCTGACATCGGTTTATCTCTCTCATCTTTATTTGCAAATATCTTTCTTAAAAAGAAAGCCATGGACTTCTAAGAGGTATCAATATGTTGCGCTTAAGCTTCTCGTTCTGTTCCTGACATCGGTTTATCTCTCTCGTCTTTATTTCTTGCGCAATGTTGAAAACGTTTAAATCGCGTATATACTGTCATTTGGCGCTATAAAAGAGCCATTTGAAGCATGTTTTACTTTTACAAGAAACTTTTACACTACCATGCCAGTATAGCTTCCCAAGTGAGCTGCCAAAGGGATTACCCAACCAAGTACCAAGTAAGAATGGATTAAGGTGATTGTATGCCGAATAGCTATAAATTAGCAGCTGAGAGTCAGAGGGGCGTTAACTCTCATCATTTAACACAATTAATGACATTCTGGCTCCCAGTACATCAATTATTCTGAGGCTGAGCAGCAAGCATCATCAATTACCACATGCTAAGAATGATCAGTGTGCACTTACATGTACATCTGTCGTTGGCTCCAGCTTCTGTATGGCTCTTTGTTCTCTCTCTTGGTTCTTGCCCTTCTTGTTCTTGCCTTTACTCTTTTTCTTCTTCAATGGCTCGCCAAACATCAGGGCTCTGGAAGAAGGACGACAAAGACATTTTTTTCTAAAATTCCAAGTCCAAACAAAATTAAAAAGAGCAACAATCATATTACACTGAATGGTCTTGGTGGGTCTAAGACAATGTTTTGACTGTAAACTAAGGAATAAGGGTTCTATCAAATGATATATTTTCAATATTCCCTGAAAATAGAGTATTTCAGACCTTCGTGTAGAAATAACAATTTGTTGGCCTCTTAGGTCTTCAAACCAATACCCTGATTTGGTTTCACATGGTTATGTAGTAACATTTGACAATAATGTTCCAATTATAGAGATTATGTGGGACTCTGAAGAAAATATGACAGAAATTCGGAACAATGTAGCCTTTTTAACAAGGGATGTACTTTTTAAAAAAAGTGCTAATAAAAGATGTAAATATAGAACGGATTCAATTAAGTTTACCACGAAACAAAGGCAAGCTCTTTTTGGGTGTATGCTATCGTCCCCATCATCTAAATATGCTACCTTCCATGATGCACTAAATAAGTCTTTGTTCTTATCACCCCACATATTTCTTCTTTCAAATCCATCATTTTATGCAGTGGTTTCCATATTCATAACTGGTTTCCATATTCATAACTGGGTTCCATTTGAATTGGACTGTAGTCGTGTGCCACAGTTGCTTCCTAGGGTTTTCCATCAATTTCACAAAGCAGATAGCATAGATTTACAGAAAACGATTGAATGTATTTTATGGAATCTATTGATGAGAGCATTGATGACACATGTGAACTTCACACTGACTTGTGTTGCAGGCAACAATCAAAGATGTATTTATCAAAGGAAATAGTTAGAATGTCCAGAAGAAAGAGAAGAGATTACAGAAGAGCTTTAATACAGGAAAGCAAAGAAAGCAAATAATCACATACTGCATGTAAAGAGGATTTCCATAACAATGAAACACCTTGCTCTATTGTGTACACTCCACGACATCGGTTTATCTCTCTCATCTTTATTTGCAAATATCTTTCTTAAAAAGGAAAGCCATGGACTTCTAAGAGGTATCAATATGTTGCGCTTGAGCTTCTCGTTCTGTTCTTGACATCGGTTTATCTCTCTCGTCTTTATTTCTTGCGCAATGTTGAAAACGTTTAAATCGCGTATATACTGTCATTTGGCGCTATAAATGAGCCATTTGAAGCATGCTTTACATTTGCAAATATCTTTCTTAAAAAGAAAGCCATGGACTTCTAAGAGGTATCAATATGTTGCGCTTGAGCTTCTCTATCTGTTCCTGACATCGGTTTATCTCTCTCATCTTTATTTGCAAATATCTTTCTTAAAAAGAAAGCCATGGACTTCTAAGAAGTATCAGTATGTTGCGCTTGAGCTTCTCGTTCTGTTCTTGACATCGGTTTATCTCTCTCGTCTTTATTTCTCGCGCAATGTTCAAAACGTTTAAATCGCGTATATATTGTCATTTGGCGCTATAAATGAGCCATTTGAAGCATGTTTTACTTTTGCAAATATCTTTCTTAAAAAGAAAGCCATGGACTTCTAAGAGGTATCAATATGTTGCGCTTGAGCTTCTCTATCTGTTCCTGACATCGGTTTATCTCTCTCATCTTTATTTGCAAATATCTTTCTTAAAAAGAAAGCCATGGACTTCTAAGAGGTATCAATATGTTGCGCTTGAGCTTCTCGTTCTGTTCTTGACATCGGTTTATCTCTCTCGTCTTTATTTCTTGCGCAATGTTGAAAACGTTTAAATCGCGTATATACTGTCATTTGGCGCTATAAATGAGCCATTTGAAGCATGTTTTACTTTTGCAAATATCTTTCTTAAAAACAAAGCCATGGACTTCTAAGCGGTATCCATATGTTGCGCTTGAGCTTCTCGTTCTGTTCCTGACATCGGTTTATCTCTCTCGTCTTTATTTCTTGCGCAATGTTCAAAACGTTTAAATCGCGTATATACTGTCATTTGGCGCTATAAATGAGCCATTTGAAGCATGTTTTACTTTTGCAAATATCTTTCTTAAAAAGAAAGCCATGGACTTCTAAGAGGTATCAATATGTTGCGCTTGAGCTTCTCGTTCTGTTCCTGACATCGATTTATCTCTCTCATCTTTATTTGCAAATATCTTTCTTAAAAAGAAAGCCATGGACTTCTAAGAGGTATCAATATGTTGCGCTTGAGCTTCTCGTTCTGTTCTTGACATCGGTTTATCTCTCTCGTCTTTATTTCTTGCGCAATGTTGAAAACGTTTAAATCGCGTATATACTGTCATTTGGCGCTATAAATGAGCCATTTGAAGCATGTTTTACATTTGCAAATATCTTTCTTAAAAAGAAAGCCATGGACTTCTAAGAGGTATCAATATGTTGCGCTTGAGCTTCTCTATCTGTTCCTGACATCGGTTTATCTCTCTCATCTTTATTTGCAAATATCTTTCTTAAAAAGAAAGCCATGGACTTCTAAGAGGTATCAATATGTTGCGCTTGAGCTTCTCGTTCTGTTCTTGACATCGGTTTATCTCTCTCGTCTTTATTTCTTGCGCAATGTTCAAAACGTTTAAATCGCGTATATACTGTCATTTGGCGCTATAAATGAGCCATTTGAAGCATGCTTTACATTTGCAAATATCTTTCTTAAAAAGAAAGCCATGGACTTCTAAGAGGTATCAATATGTTGCGCTTGAGCTTCTCGTTCTGTTCTTGACATCGGTTTATCTCTCTCGTCTTTATTTCTCGCGCAATGTTCAAAACGTTTAAATTGCGTATATACTGTCATTTGGCGCTATAAATGAGCCATTTGAAGCATGTTTTACTTTTGCAAATATCTTTCTTAAAAAGAAAGCCATGGACTTCTAAGAGGTATCAATATGTTGCGCTTGAGCTTCTCTATCGGTTCCTGACATCGGTTTATCTCTCTCATCTTTATTTGCAAATATCTTTCTTAAAAAGAAAGCCATGGACTTCTAAGAGGTATCAATATGTTGCGCTTAAGCTTCTCGTTCTGTTCCTGACATCGGTTTATCTCTCTCGTCTTTATTTCTTGCGCAATGTTGAAAACGTTTAAATCGCGTATATACTGTCATTTGGCGCTATAAAAGAGCCATTTGAAGCATGTTTTACTTTTACAAGAAACTTTTACACTACCATGCCAGTATAGCTTCCCAAGTGAGCTGCCAAAGGGATTACCCAACCAAGTACCAAGTAAGAATGGATTAAGGTGATTGTATGCCGAATAGCTATAAATTAGCAGCTGAGAGTCAGAGGGGCGTTAACTCTCATCATTTAACACAATTAATGACATTCTGGCTCCCAGTACATCAATTATTCTGAGGCTGAGCAGCAAGCATCATCAATTACCACATGCTAAGAATGATCAGTGTGCACTTACATGTACATCTGTCGTTGGCTCCAGCTTCTGTATGGCTCTTTGTTCTCTCTCTTGGTTCTTGCCCTTCTTGTTCTTGCCTTTACTCTTTTTCTTCTTCAATGGCTCGCCAAACATCAGGGCTCTGGAAGAAGGACGACAAAGACATTTTTTTCTAAAATTCCAAGTCCAAACAAAATTAAAAAGAGCAACAATCATATTACACTGAATGGTCTTGGTGGGTCTAAGACAATGTTTTGACTGTAAACTAAGGAATAAGGGTTCTATCAAATGATATATTTTCAATATTCCCTGAAAATAGAGTATTTCAGACCTTCGTGTAGAAATAACAAATTTGTTGGCCTCTTAGGTCTTCAAACCAATACCCTGATTTGGTTTCACATGGTTATGTAGTAACATTTGACAATAATGTTCCAATTATAGAGATTATGTGGGACTCTGAAGAAAATATGACAGAAATTCGGAACAATGTAGCCTTTTTAACAAGGGATGTACTTTTTAAAAAAAGTGCTAATAAAAGATGTAAATATAGAACGGATTCAATTAAGTTTACCACGAAACAAAGGCAAGCTCTTTTTGGGTGTATGCTATCGTCCCCATCATCTAAATATGCTACCTTCCATGATGCACTAAATAAGTCTTTGTTCTTATCACCCCACATATTTCTTCTTTCAAATCCATCATTTTATGCAGTGGTTTCCATATTCATAACTGGTTTCCATATTCATAACTGGGTTCCATTTGAATTGGACTGTAGTCGTGTGCCACAGTTGCTTCCTAGGGTTTTCCATCAATTTCACAAAGCAGATAGCATAGATTTACAGAAAACGATTGAATGTATTTTATGGAATCTATTGATGAGAGCATTGATGACACATGTGAACTTCACACTGACTTGTGTTGCAGGCAACAATCAAAGATGTATTTATCAAAGGAAATAGTTAGAATGTCCAGAAGAAAGAGAAGAGATTACAGAAGAGCTTTAATACAGGAAAGCAAAGAAAGCAAATAATCACATACTGCATGTAAAGAGGATTTCCATAACAATGAAACACCTTGCTCTATTGTGTACACTCCACGACATTTAAATGCCATTACCAAATCATGCATGCCCAAGTCTTGCCAGTATCATTCGTTGAGTATTTAAATAGGGAACAGCTGAAAAGTCTTTTATCTATTCACACATTGAAAAGTGATTGTTATAACTTTCACTGATTGTGCATATACTAAGATGCATGGTGGGAAATCAATTGTTCAGGAATTGATTATTTATCAGCTCTTCATGTTTATGCATAAGTCACAAGAAATGTTGGTGAGGAGGGGATAAGTTGTACTAACTGTCCTAAAAACTCTTTATCTGTTGGTAAGGTATATATGGAGGAGACTGCACTTGTACTGGATGTGACGCCATGTTCACATGCAGGGCCAGATCATCAGTTGGGGGAAAATGGGGTTAAAATTGTGGGGTAAGTATATGCTGTATATCTGGCCCTGTTGTCACAGTTCCATGTTAGTAGTTTTCTGCTGGCATGGATCTCCCCTGATCCTCCCCTGATGGCAATTTTCAATATGATAAATCAAACTATATCAAAGCTCTCGACATATCTTGAGCATTTCTCACTCTGTTTAACCATTATTTTCGTGCATTTGTTAGATGTGGTTTTTTTTAGACTTTGAGAAGGTAATGTAGCGAATGAAACATGCTAATGCGTATTGACCTCTAGCGTGGTATACTTGCTGAGAGGCAGCACGATTTGAATTTTCAAAGGATTCTTTCTAACATCAGTAAGTTGAAACAAGGGAAATGGTCTCGCCTGCATTATGCAATTCGATATGATGAAAAATTGAGGTTGGAACATTATTTATAGACAGGGTGGCCCATTAGCAGGTCCCAAAAATAAAAACCTCTAAATATAATCACATTTTGAAGTGAATATTGACTAAGAATCATCAGAAGAATTATTTACTATTAAATGTACATGATTGATAACTTGAATGAAATATGAACAAATTAATTTAAAAAAAATACTAATTCTCATATTAAGTTGTGAAAACATAATCCTAGTCTGCTGACCTTTGACCTTGTGATCTGGAATTTGTGTCATATGATTTGTAATACTTGATAACCTTTGGGTACAAGTTTCATGGAATTTGAACAATCAATTTTGAAAATATGCTAAAAAATTCAAAATCTTGATGTTGATGCCACAACAAAGTCTAAGTTTGTTGACCTAAAATGACCTTTGACCTTAACTTAGTGACCTGACATACTACTCACGTGATTGGGGATACTTGATAACCCTATAGTCCAAGTTTCATTGACTAAGAACTTATACTTTCAAAATTATATCAAAATTCAAAAACTTAACCGTAGGTTCAGTTTTGATGATGATGCCACAACATAGTCCAAGTCTGTTGACCTGAAATGACCTTTGACCTTGACGTTGTGACCTGAAATTCTACTCACATGATTGGGGGTAAAAAATTAAAAATCTTGATGTTGATGCCACAACAAAGTCTAAGTTTGTTGACCTAAAATGACCTTTGACCTTAACTTAGTGACCTGAAATACTACTCACATGATTGGGAATACTTGATAACCCTATAGTCCAAGTTTCATTGACTAAGAACTTATACTTTCAAAATTACATCAAAAATTCAAAAACTTAATCATAGGTTTAGTTTTGATGATGCCACAACATAGTCCAAGTCTGTTGACCTGAAATTCTACTCACATGATTGGGGATACTTGATAACCCTATAGTCCAAGTTTCATTGACTAAGAACTTATACTTTCAAAATTATATCAAAAATTAAAAAACTTAACCTTAGCTTAAGTTTTTGATGTTGACGCCGCCGCCGCCGCCGCCACCGCCGCCGTTACTGATTGGTTATCAGCAAATTTGTCACTGATTTTTGTCATTGAAAAAAGACTTTGTGAAATGGGTCCCGGATGTACTTAGTAGAGAACTCAAAGAATATAGACAAAGCAAGAGAGATGACAGACACATGACAGACAGATGGACAGAAAGAGACACAAAGAGCAGACGGTTCTTACCTGATAATAGCTCTGCCGTCCTTGTCTCCAGTGTATGTGACGACGTAGAAGGCTGGAGCCCAGAACTCAAACTCTCTCTCCCAGTTGATAATGGAACATAGAGGAGCACTGATCAGAAAAGGTCCTTTGGAATGACCCTGTATCAAAGAAAGATGATGTGTGTATAATGTGGAGGCAAATTATTTTGAAGTTTTATGGAGTAAAGAGTGAATATGCATTTTGAAAAGAATGGGTTGTGAAATGTGAAATGAGTGGATGGTGAAGGAGGGAATTGTATCATTTTGAAAATTCCTTTGAGCAGAGCTTTGTTCCTCTCCCCCATTGTCTCTCTCTTTCCCCCTTCCTTTCACATCATTTTTCTTGCTCCATCTCCCATCTCCCATCTCCCCACCCCTCCCCCTCCCCCTCCCATGTAGGTATTACCCATAGTAAGAGCGCTTCAAACAATGCACCTACCTCCTTATAGAGAGAGTAGAGGAACGCGATGGTCTGGATAGTTTTCCCCAATCCCATCTCATCAGCCAGGATGGTACAGATATCATTATGCCAGGAGTATCTCAGCCAGTTCAGACCCTCGAGCTGGTAGTCATGGAGCTTGCCTCCACAGGCATCGATGTACTGGGTTGCACTTCAAACTTCTTCCTCAACTGTGAAGCAAGAACAAAATTGAGATGACAACTTGCACTGGACTTAAAGCTGATATTCTAAGCAAATATATGTCCCTTAATTTGGTACCTACGGCAAGCATATGTTATTTATAAGTTTTTCAATTACATAGTATATCACAACAAAATTCTGGGAACTCGAAATCCTTCATTGAAATGTCGAAAATATCCGCCTCTCTTTGCATAGAAAATCAGTCACGGTGCTGGTCTACTATATATGACATCACGTCCGGGAAAGAGTATATTCACGTACCCGGATGTTCCACAGATAGCATGTCCAGAGTCGGTCATTGAAATGGAATATAAATTGTAATGTTTTGTTGTTGCTCACAATACGAATTTAGCTGAAAGTGCATGACAGATGGAAGTGTTTACAGTTACATTTGTGCACATGATTCATTCATACAATCCTTTTTCAGGTGGGCTGTATATAATACAGATCACCTTATATTTTTGTTAAAATTGCCTTCATTTATTATTTATTCATTTATTTTTCTTATTTCGACCCACTTTTTTGTTTGCAAGTTAACTTTAAAATGGCTCAATCAAATGCCTTGAAAATTTGGCACACATATGTATAGGCAAATGGACAAAGCACAGCAAGGTTTTCAAACTTGATCTCGACTTGTGACGTCATCTAGGCGCCATTTTGTGAAATTTTCTGAAAATCAACTCATGATCATTTCTTCATAACCAAAAGTCATTTCTCATTCACATTTATAATGATCAAGGTCAATATCCGTCCGGTCAATTTCAGGTAAAAAAATGTACGTAACATTTTTGATGACGTGATATTTAGCTACTGATTGCCGTTTAACGACAATTTGTTAAGGTCTGATTTTTTAGCTATGTGTTGCATAATGTTTGCTGATTTAAAAAATATTGTTGCCAGTCTATAATTGACTTTTATATGTAACACTTTGGTGCCTTTGATCAGAGCCATGCACACATGTAATTATATTTTATTACTAAATGTAATTGTTGGCTTTGCTTGTTTCGCTGTAGTAGTAAGTTACTTGAGGCCATGAGAGAGTGGGAGATAAAAAGGGAAATATACAGTGCGTCCTAGAAAAAACAAAACCGAGAGTTATCGATGTTTTATCATAACTCAATCACATTTATAATTGATAAATGACACATGTTTGGAAAGCTTAGATCCTCCTCTTTCATTTGATGCAACTCAAATAATACATATTTCACGCATGAGTGATTAAAATGAATTTGAAGAGAGGAAACCAAAAAGTCATTTGGCGGACGGTCTCTGAATTTCAAGGAGAAAATCACATTTCTAGAAGGTTGAGTTTCTGCCCTTTCATATGACACCTCAATCAGGAAAAATGAGCAAGGAATGACAAAGTTCTGTTTGTTTAAAGTAGTGCTTGCATTTCCATAATTTTATCAAACAAATTCGTTTTCACGGGGTGCCTGCCGTAGCAAAAAACAAGTTGACAAAAGACTTAACTCCATTTCGTCGACAATCAACCGTAGACGAAAGACTTATAAATGTGACTAAGCTATGAAAAACATAGAGAGTGCGAGACAAATATGAGCGACATGTAGGTGAACGTAGAACACTGGGCAGAGATAATGCATACACGAAATTGAACACATGGGACCGAAATATATTTAGGAACAAGGAATGACGACTTATTATCGCACTTGTGTAAATATAATTAGAGATTATTAAGAAGTGATCGTATCCATACTAATTTAAGGGGAATCTACTCTAAATTGTAAGGATTAGAGGACGTTTTGTGGGCAAATACGAAGGTTAAAAAATGTGAAATGACGCCATTTTGTACGGACAGAGGGTCGGAGTGTACGAACGATGTGTGCGACTTCCACTCCAAAAGTAAATTCAACATCGGTATGTCTTCAGCTGGCTGCTGACCCATCTACAAGTCATCAAGTTACTATTTTACCATATCAAGTTATAAATCTGGTTAGTTTGGTTTGCCTAGTAAATTAAGTGTGCATTGTTGATGATAGTGTACGAAATCTATAGTAGATTTGGAACTACTATAGAATTTATTTCTAAACAAAAACACAAAGACTTCGTCTGTATATTTCAGACAAACGGACCCGGGTAATTGTGCCTTATAAATCGCTTGAAGTGTGAAAGGGAATAAGATACTATTTTGTTATTTACTGAGTGACTGAGTGGAAGACTTGATACACAGAAACGAATGTATGGGACATGATTATGGTCTAAATGGTGTTGTGAGGCTTGTTAGAGAGACAGAAACATGATTAGTTCCTACTTAATTACGGTATCAGGGGTGAGAATAATACTCATCTATAAAAGGATGGAAAATATTGGAAAGTGGTTTGAGACTCTAGAAGCTAACTTTGACAAGAGACATATTGGAAAAGGACGAGACAGTGCGTCACAAAAGGAAACAATTGCCATACGTCACAATGACTTTAAGCGTATGCTAGTAGGACGCATGGTCCGGTTTTTTAGGAATCTATGTATGTGAGAGTGTATCAGATTACAGAGTAAATTGAAACACACAAACCGTGTTGTTTTGGAGATCCAAGCGCTCCAGATTAAAGACTAGGTGGTGGCAGCAACCGCAATCGTCAGAATTATGAAGTAACTCATGGTATAAGAGACTGGCATAAAAGGGGTTCTTTCCAGACCTGTTTTTACTTGTATTCCCTATATTGATAGATTTCCCTACAATGGTGGCAAGAGAAGTTATACTATTGATGGGGATGATTCGCTACAATGGTGGAATTATCACGTTCCGACATACTCATAAAAAAAAATCATATAACGTACAGCCAGACTTTACCCTATCTGAAACAATCGTTCAAAGACAACAATCATGCAAGTTAAAGGAATGGACAATAATATGTGATAAGATAAAATGATAAAAATTTGTCACAGACAAATAGATGATTATAAGAAATGATTGTTTCTCTCTCCTTTTCTCTCTATTTATGTGTGTGTCTCTCTCTCTCTCTCTCTCTTTCTCTCTCCCTCTATCTCTCGGTCGGTTGCTTTCTCAGTCTGTCTGTCTCTCTGTCTATCTGCCAATGCTATTCCGCCCTTTGCTTGTATGCCGGCACCATTCCTTCTTTGAGATAAATTATATAACATAATGATGATGTACACCATTTATTATACCTTATATTTATTATAGGGAGCGAAATAGAAAACGAGCAGCTGATAATGTCGAAATGCGAAGAATATTACTGTACAATAATTATACAAAGTAAAACTTTTGAATGAAAATCTCTGTTGCATCAAATTGATAGAAAAATGTTTATTATGCTATATTGACAATACTATTATACGTCGGACATTATGCTTCAGCAACAAGATATCTATATTAAATAAAAGGACAACTAAAGGGGAAAACAAAATCGGAGCTGGGGGGGGGGGTGATCGGAGAGACAAATACTATATAAATAAATACTGTACGGACTACATCCAACTTTCTATCTCTCCCGCCTCCTCCCCCCCCCCTTCACTCTCTCTCTCTCTCTCTCTCTATGTCTGTCTCTCTGTCTATCTGGCAATGTCGTTTTCGATCTTCATCTTTTTTATAATGTTTTCTATTCCTCCATTTGCTTGTACACCAGCAGCATCTCTTTCTTGAGATTAATTATTATAACATAATTATCCCTGATGATGTACACATTATACCTTATATTTATTATAGGAAACGAAATAGAGAACGAGCGGCTAATAATGTCGAAATGAGAAGAACATTACTACAGTGTATACAATAATTATACAAAGTAAAACTTTTGAATGTAAATCCCTGTTGCATCAAACTGATTAAAAAAATGTTTCTTATTATGCCATATTGATGGTACCATTATACGTCAGAAATTATACTTTAGCCAAAAGGTATAAACAAAACAAAACAAAAAAAATGGAAAGAAAAAATCTGAGCTGGGGGGGGGGGGGGGGGGGGGGGTCGGTCAGAAAAATATAATAATAATAAATACAGTACAGACCACGTTCAACTTTCTATCCCCCCCCCCCCTCCTCTCTCTAATTCTCTCTCTCTCTCTCCCCTCTCTGTCCGTCTGTCTCTCTGTCTATGTCGTTTTCCATCTTCATCTTTTATGTTTTCTATTCCGCCCTTTGCTTGTAAGCCGGCACCATTCCTTCTTTGAGATAAATTATATAACATAATGATGATGTACACCATTTATTATACCTTATATTTATTATAGGGAGCGAAATAGAAAACGAGCAGCTGATAATGTCGAAATGCGAAGAATATTACTGTACAATAATTATACAAAGTAAACTTTTGAATGAAAATCTCTGTTGCATCAAAATTGATAGAAAAAATGTTTATTATGCTATATTGACAATACTATTATACGTCAGACATTATGCTTCAGCAACAAGATATCTATATTAAAAACAAGGGAAACACTCTCGGCGGTCTCGCCTGCATAACGCAATTCAATATGATAAACCAGAACGTCAATGAGGTAGCGCTCATCCGCATCTCGCAACAAATATCGTAAATTTTATGTGGTACACTTTTGAACTGGTCAAAAAATAAAAATTTGATGCCCTGAAATAAATAATCAACGGAGCAAAATCTCAAAATTCTGTGTAAGAGTTAAGTTTACCTGATAAGGCAAACCAAATCAAAATCGGTCAAGAAATGAGGGAGAAGCAATTTTTGTTATTTGAATAAATTTGCATAAATTACCATAATTAATTAATGGAGAACAATTTCAAAATTTGGTGTAGAAGTTTGTTGTACAAAGTTAGCTCTACCAGATAAAGCAAACCAAAATTGGTCGAGAAATGAAGGGGAAGAAGCATTTTTTGTGATTTCGAATAAATTCGCATAAATTAGCATAGATAATGAATTTCACGATTCTGTGTAGAAATTTTAAATCCCCCTCCTAGCCCTATCATATGAAACAATCAGAATCAAAATCGGTTGAAAAATAACGAAGAAGAAGCATTTTGAAAATCTTGATGTTGATGCTACAACAAAGTCTAAGTTTGTTGACCTTTTACCTTAACTTAGTGACCTGAAATTCTACTCACATGATTGGGGATACTTGATAACCCTATAGTCCAAGTTTCATCGACTAAGGACTTATACTTTCAAAATATCAAAAATTCAAAAACTTAACCTTAGGTAAAGTTTTCGACGATGATGCTACAACATAGTCCAAGTCTGTTGACCTGAAATGACCTTTGACCTTCACTCCTTGACTTTGTGATCTGAAATTCTACTCACATGATTGGGGATACTTAATTAACCTATAGTCAAAGTTTCATTGACTAAGAACTTATACTT